GGTATATAGGGTCAAACGCAATGCTGATGGTTCTGTTGATCGATACAAAGCTCGCCTTGTTGCCAAAGGTTTTAATCAGGAGTATGGCTTGGACTATTCTGAGACCTTTAGCCCGGTGGTCAAGCAACAAACCATTCGAGTGGTTTTCTCCCTTGCTGTTCGTTGTCAATGGCCCTTGAGACAGCTTGATGTATCTAATGCTTTCTTACATGGTGAGGTCGATAAGGATATCTATATGACTCAGCCTCCCGGCTATGTTGATTCGCAATTTCCCCATCACGTCTGCAAGCTCACTAAATCCTTGTATGGGTTGAAACAGGCCCCTCGTGCCTGGTATGAGCGATTCTCAGCTTTTCTCTATGCCTACGGGTTTCGCAAGAACGAGCACGACACGAGCCTTTTTATTATGCATGGATCTTCAGGGATACTTATCTTGCTTGTTTATGTTGATGATGTTATCGTCACAGGTAGCTCTACTACTCTTGTACAAGGATTCATCGCTAGCATGTGCCGGGAGTTTAACACAAAGGACCTTGGTGATCTTCACTACTTTCTTGGCTTGGAAATTGTTCGCACATCATCTTCTCTTGTTGTGTCCCAGAAGAAATATGCTCTTGAACTCCTTCACCGAGCTGGTTTTGCAGACTGTAACCCGGCTCCCACACCGATCTCTGTTCGGCCAAAGACCTCGGAGGGGGAATCTCCTCTCTTTCCAGATCCAACTCTGTTCCGAAGCCTCGTTGGTGGTCTACAATATCTCACAACTACACGGCCTGACATTCAATTTGCTGTCAACTATGTGTGCCAACGTATGCATGCCCCGACAGATGCCGATTTCCAACACTTAAAACGCATTCTTCGCTTTGTTAAGGGCACCACTGATCATGGTCTTGTGTTTCGGCCTGGTGACTTACAACTTAGAGCGTACTCTGACTCTGACTGGGCTAATGATATGTCTGATGGGAGATCGATCACAGGTTATCTAGTCTACCTTGGGCCAAACTTGGTTTCTTGGAGTACGGAAAAGCAGTCTCGTGTCTCAAGGTCGTCCATAGAGGCCGAGTACCGTGCTTTGTCTTCGGCTGCAGCGGAGGTGATGTGGCTTACCTATGTCTTAACAGATCTCCGTGTTCCTCTCGTTACACCACAACTCTTATGTGATAATCAATCGGCAATTTGTCTTACCAAAAATCCTGTGTTTCATAAACGAATGAGACATGTGGGTACGGATTGTCACTTTGTTCGCGAACAGGTCATTGCTGGTACTATGGAGGTTTCTCATGTTTTCTCTGAAGATCAACTTGCTGATTTGCTCACAAAGCCTCTTCCTTCACCACGTTTTCAGAATCTTGTTTCCAAGCTTCCACTCGCTATACACCATTCAGCTTGAGGGGGGATGTTAGACAATAGTCCTATTCCTAGTTGTATTTGTATTGTCTCTCTATATATACATTACCATGTACCCTATTGTAAGGTGTGAAATACAATTATTCAGTTGTGTCAATACAGTTCATATGAATTGGAATGAATAAGTAAAAAGTTTTTTTTTTTTTGAAATGGGTAAATAAAACTTGGGTGCGTGGATTAGAGTTCCAATGAGGTGACTGAAATGGAATATGATGTAGAAGGGTTTGACTTGACTCTAAATTCTTGGAATAATTTTTTCAATAATTTTTTTTTTTAAAATAAAACAATCTTTTTCAGTGATTGTTTGTTACAGAGAAAAGGAAGCAAAAGTTGTGGCAGAATGAAAAGGATACTTTTGAACTACGATTCTGTGGCCTTCTGATCTTCTTTCTTTTTTTTTTACGGGAATTTGTTTCATTGAGTGTAAATTTTTTGGGGATTGAAGTAGGGGAGACTTTTTATAAGTTTGACTCATTTATTATAATGATAAAGTTATATGTGTAAAATTTTACACAAAAAGTAATCTGAATTGATTTTATTAAACATGCTATTTTTACACGCAATTACTATTTTAATTTGGTTATGAGTCTAATTATAAGTTCATTAATAATAAACCTTAATAAATACACTTACTTAAAAAAATAGGGAGAACACTAAAGTGGAACATAATTATGGAACAACAAAAAATGACAATTTATGATTAATTTTTTAATTAAATAATGAAGATGATCACACGCACGTTATTATCATGTTTGACTTGGATAAGTATTCGTTTCGGTTTGACTTGGATAAGCCATCATTAAATTTGTATGATTAATTTAGTCCGTCCACAATTTTATATTTCAATACTTTTCTAAATTTTGTGAGATCAAATTTGTATGATTAATTCAGAATGGAGGGAGTACCAAATATGCGTGCGACCAAATTGTTCTAGCAATATATTTTGTTGGATTATTGAAGAAAGAATAAAAAATAAAAACAAACTTTTAATTCGAAACGAAGTCAATATCGAGTACGAACAAAGTGAGTGTTTTTTATGCTTATAGGTTGTTTTCTAAATTAAAAGTCGGCTCATGACGCATTTTTCTGTACCTATAAACTGACTTATAAAATGTTTATAGATAATAATAATAAGTAGGTCTAACCTAGTTATTTCTAACTTAATTTTTTTTATTTCTCTATTTAGACCAAATTATTTCAAAAACTATTTCTCATGGATTATGAGTATCTCAAAATGATTTATATATCATTTAAATCATTTTATCTACAGAAAAAAATATTTGACTTATACGGAGTAAAAAATTTATGTATTAAAAATTACTAATCAGTAAGTAACAAGTCAATAATTAAGCAGGGAATAACAATTGAAATATCAGAAGAGGATTGAGGCTAGACGGAGGAGGGACTAGCAATATAATGTGCATGAGTAATTTACACATTTAACCCGCGCCGGGGTATACATATACTCTGTATTACTACACCACTCAATTAATTACTGCGTGAAACACATGGCAAGAATGGGTGGGGGTGGGGGGCAGTGATGGGATGTGAGAATGTACACACCGATCATCTTTAATTTAATTAACCGGTTGTACAAATTTGAGCTTTTAATTGAGTTGATAATAAATGATTTTATTGCATACTTAAAATAATAACATAAGTACTCTAGAAAATAAATAGAGAGTTTCTCATCAAAGTATAATATTCTCTATGTCATCAAATAATCAATGAAAATACACAAATAGACCAAAATTGTCACGATTTT